TTCAAGGGAATAAAGGTTTTGAATAATTTCTACTATCACACTTTTAAAATTCACAAGCCAAATTGGGCCCTATCTCATAACTTATAAATTGACTTTATTAAGAAATGATATTTATTTATCTAGAAATTAATAAAAAAAATCAGTAAGACTGTTGTTAAACATATAGTTTCAACCTGCAATAATTCATACAATAAAGAACGATATAACAAGCAACTGTATGATATTTTTAGTATAACTCTACATTTTTATTTAAAAATAAATGACAAATCGACCTACGATAATGGTGAGGGCGCCTCGGCACAAAAATTTGTGGAGAAGTAAATTAGTACAACACCTTGTATTACCCGAGCATTGAATTAAAAACTATATATCTTATAAGAAAATGTTAAAACATAAAACTATAACTAATTATAAAGTTCTACCAAATAATAATAATAAAATGCATTCATATATTCATATATTGTAAAAGATCCCAAAACACGATAACAAGAAATTCTGAAATCATATATAAAGGTGGTTAGGTGTAAAGGTAAGAAATTATATATAGATATATATACAAAAAGATGATTCTCCTAACTTACCATTATTTGACAAGCCATTGATGATGGGAGGCCTATAAATGCATGGGATGGCTCTTTGAAATTTTTTCATCAGCAAGATCATCCAATTTCACTGCATATATACACATTAGAGAAACAAAAGACTATTTTGCATAGATAGCCATTATGGGAAGTGAGGCAACATCGGTCCCATCCTTACCGATCGACATCCAAATCACTCGTCACGATTTCCCTAAGAATTTCGTGTTTGGATGCGCTACCTCGGCTTACCAGGTTGAAGGAGCTTTTGCACAAGGTGGTAGAGCCTTTAGTACATGGGATGTTTTCTCCAATGGCTATCCAGGTTCTCTCTCTCTCTCTCTCTCTCTCTCTCTCTCATAGTGAACAAATTAATGATGAGTTTTGGGTGATGATATATATAGGGAACATTCTTGATGGATCAAATGGAAATGTGGCTGTGGATATGTACAACAGATACAAGGTATATATCGACTCGACTTAACGTTGTATATATTCATATTCAGCTGAAAAATCGATTCATTATATATATGATTGAAGCTATTCGATATCAATTGCTTCGTTTTTTTCAGGATGACATCAAGACGATGAAGAACATGGGGTTTGATGCTTACAGATTCTCTATCTCATGGTCCAGAGTATTGCCTGGTACAGTTTTATATCTATATATATCCAATCAGCAAATTAAGTAAAAAAAAATCAAACACTTAATTTTCCATGTAGTTGAAAGACTAAATTTAAATTTCTCTATTTTTTTCTTTTTCATGTTTTTTAATGTTAGGAGGGAAAATTTCCCTTGGTGTCAATCAAGAGGGAGTTGACTACTACAATAATCTTATCGACACCGTCCTTGCTTACGGTTAGTCCTTGTTACTCGACACCGTCCTTGCTTACGGTTATCGACACCGTTCTTTTTCATATTGTGAATATATGAATTTATTGAATGAATGCAAGGCATGAAACCTTATGTGACACTCTTCCATTGGGACCTTCCTTACCTATTGGAGAAAGAGTATGGTGGCTTCTTAAGCCACAAGATAGTGTAAGCCTATTAGTATGCTTTTTTATTGCACTTATTAATTAATCACATGAAAATACATGCATCTATCTAACTAGACATTAATAATATATTCACTATTTTTTTTTTTTTCGTGAAAAAAAAAGGAAGGACTTTCAAGATTTTGCTGAGCTATGCTTTTGGGAATTCGGGGATCGCGTGAAGCACTGGATCACGATCAACGAGGCGTGGACCTACAGTGCCTCCGGCTACGCCAGCCGCCACTTTCCCCCGGGCTTCCACGGTAGCTACTTTGGGCCCGAAATCGAGCCCAAGTCTGCGGAGCTCACGCCCCCACCCGGAAAGAAGGCACAAAAAAACATGATGGACATGATGGAGGAAAACGCATCGAACCTCGATCGAATAGCGTCGAATGACGACAGCCTGTCTCTCGGCATTGATCGAGGCCAGAATTTCATACCCTATAGAGGTGTCCACTTGGTTAAGGAGGATCGATTTATATCGGAAGGTCGGACTATTGTTCTCCGGAAACTGGCGGCACCGCCAAAGGACAACGACCCGGTGAAGGCTAAGGAGGCGTACACTGTCGGCAGAAATATATTGCTCTCTCACGCGGCCGCGGTTGATTCGTACCGGAAGCGGTTTCAGGTACCGAGTTGTTATATTTGAACCGAGTAATTAATTTTGAAAAAAAATGGTCGAATTGAAAATTTGATTATTTCGACTACATTATGATGGTTCTATGTGAAATCTATTACCGAGTTTTTGTCTGAACCGAGTAATTAATTTTGAAAAATTTATTTTGAATCGGATAAGTTGATTATTTGAACTGTATTGTAAGTAGAAGAGGAAAATGCACATAATCTCTTGAAAACTAAAGTATGGTTTAAGTTGATTGTTAATTTTTCATTTTGAATGAAATAAAACATACAAATTAATTGAGCATTTAGAATTTGATATTTACAATTATATAATTTACTGAGGATGGAATTTATTTACTACGGTTTCAGAATCTTCAAAAGGGCAAGATTGGAATAACAAATTGTATCCACTGGTTTGAGCCGTTCGATGAAACAAAGAAGGAAGATGTGAAAGCCGCCCGTAGAGCCTTTGATTTTATGTTGGGATGGTAAATCACAATTTAATTATAATTTTATATATTTCTTTGTTATTCCATTTTAATTATGTGATTAAAAATTTTAATCAATGACTAAAATAAATAAATAAATCTAATCAATGACTAAAATTATTTAGAATAATGTGTAATATTTTTATATACTTATTAAATATTTGTAACTATTCACTATTAATTATATCACATCAAATATTTATTATTATGCTACTCGGCTCGATTCCGAATTAGTCGGTTTTCCCTGTGGATCTGAAAACAGAAATGCCCCTGTACCAAAAAAAAAATATATTTATTATTATGAATAATAATGCAATTCAGGTTCATGGAGCCTCCGTTGACGGGTCAGTACCCGAAGAACATGTTAGATTTTGCTCCCCGCGACTATCTTGAGCCATTCACAAAAGAAGAGTCAAAGCTGCTCAAAGGGTCCGTTGACTTTGTGGGAATAAACTTCTACACAGCAATGTATGCTCAATATGATCCCAATTCTGATGCCAATGAAGGCTACTACAAAGATCAGAAGATCAAATTTAAGTGTAAGATCTTCATCATTAATATATCTTAAATATCATTACGAGTCTTAGGCTGTGTTTGGTAAACCTAACTGATAAGTTAGCTTGTAGCTTATAAGCTAGCTGATAGCTGATAAGCTATAAGCTAGCTGACAGCTTATAGCTTATAGCTTATAGCTGATAAGCTAGTTGATTTTTATTAAATGTGTTTGGAAAAAATAGCTGATAAGCTAGTCAAAAATTATAATTATTTAAAATTTAATGGTATATAATTCAATTAATTATATTTAAAAAAAATTATTAATATGAATACTATTACCATTAGTTCCATTGATTATAAAAAAAAAGGTAAAAAAAAATATATAATTTTCAATAAAAAGGAACACTAATAAAAAAATATGCACATAATCCGAAAAACAAAAATGCTAATGAATTAATTGTAATGAATAACAATACAAGAACCACCTTGTTACATCAATCCGCATTAACAACGTGAAATCAGATCAGGATACATGTATTAGTAAACATATATATTATACATATAGGCATAGAAATAAAAAATAGTATTTAAATTATAACATTAAGTACAGAAATAATATAAAAATAGAATAAAAGTAAAAGCTGGTAGGAGCTTTTTTCAAAACGCTTGTAAAACAAGCTTCTCAAATAAGCTAGAGCTTTTTAAAAAAGCTCATGTTACCAAATAAAGTTTATTGAAATAATACAAGCTTATAAGCTAATTAAATAAGTTATAAACTAGTTTTATGGCCTACCAAACACAACCTTAGTTTGTTGGGAAATGCTAAGGTTCCGTTGCAGAACCATTCTGTCGGGACTTGTAACCGTTAGATCACCATGTAACCGTCGAAAATAGTTGATCTACCGGTTACAGAATGGTTCCGTAACAGAACTGAAACGTCATTCTAATTTATTAATGATCTTTTTAATTTTTGGATTAATTAAATCTCATAAATTGCTGAGTTGCCCTTTTTTTGTTGTTGTAGATGTGAAAAATAAGCAACCCATTGGTGACTCGGTAAGAATTTCTGTTTTTTTTTTTTTTTTTTTTT